TCCCCAGTCGTGCCGTGTGGCTTCCTCCAATGTCAAATCTCTTCGTTGCAACTTGAGCACCGCAATGGCGCCGAAAAAGTTCGCTATTTAAAATGTAGACATCGATCAGTCTCAGCGATCCATCTGCGTCAGCCACCCCATCATCGTCACCATGTGATGATAATTTCCTTTCTTATGCACTTCTTGACACTTTTTCTGGTTTTTCAATTCTGAGCTACATGTAGATAAATGTTGCACCGTCACAGAAGTATCGTTGGAGTCCGAACTTTACGAACTGCGATCGATGTTATTTTTTCTGAGACGAAGTTTTGCTTCTTCGGATATTGGAGTCATATTCTTCCTTTTTTGTTCCTTCCTTCTCTAATAATAATTCTGATAACAATTTTAAGGAACGCTAATTTTTTGATGTGTCACACACGGTGTACTAATATAGAACGATCACAGAGACAGGGCGTGTGTGCGTTGTTTCCGTTGCTAAGTAGGCCAACTTATGCAAATTAGGTCAATATTTATTGTTTGCGCTCAAAGCCGATTATCCTGAAATCAAAGTGAGCGGTCTGCTGTTATAAACACATATCCTAACTTTTTTGTTAAAAATGCCGTTTTTGGGTGTACTGGTTACTACTTTGAGTGGAAAACACATCCATTGCATGCAGATAGACAAATGCCACCAAAATAGACAATAAACAAAAAAAGTATAAAATAGTGACTGTTATGTCTACTACATCCTTAAATTTTTTTTGCCAAAGGAATAAAATAAGTGAAAATAAAAACCAACAAAATAAGTTTTACATTGACCTCTTATTCTCCAAAAATCAGCTAAAATAAACTTACCGGTAATACAAAACAGTCAAATGTATTTTCAGTGAAAATTAATTCCAGTATTTTACAGTATAAAGTTTGAATGTAGCTAAATAGTAAAGGCATTCCTTGTTAATCAAGAAAATTATTCAATGTGTATTTTAGTCAATTTCACAAGATGAAAATTAACCTTATGCGTGCCAAAGCTAACACTTGTCGCAATTCAAATTTTATACATTAATAAATTTTCCATAATGTTGATTTCATCCTGAGACAATAGAAAATTATAATATTTTTTCCTAAATTATCAAAATAAATATAAAAAATGCATAAAAAGAAGCAAAAATGTTCTAAAATTGTGCAGAGAAAACCTATGGCTCTCGAAGGATTAAATTAAACATTGTGTTGAAGAATGGTAGTTATGAGGACAATGTACTTGCAAATGTTTAAAGTTGCGTTAATAGTAGGTTGTTTTATTCACTACAGTGAGGATGTCAAAGCTGTAGAACATCTGTGCTTACTGTATTACATGTACTTGTACTATCACAAAAACAGTATGTTGCAACAATATGCATTTAAAAAAACAAAAAACGTCTTTGTGAACAACATTACTTTTCATTGGTGATTCCAAAGCAGAAAAAGTAAGAACAAGATGCTTAACCACACAAAGGTGTAGCTAAAATTCTTAAAGTGAATGTGGCCAGGTGAACGAATCTCCTGCCAGGTGGACGAATTTCTAGAGTATTATAAATAAAAAAAATGATTATTTTATTATAAGTTAGATGGTCCAACTTATAGGATTGGAACATGCAACATAGTGAAATAAAGTAGAAACAAAATTACAGAAACTAGGAATGACAAAACAAATATGTGCAATCTAAATGAATATAAGGATATTTTTAAACATGGAGAAATTAAGCTGCGAATTATAATTATGATTCTCAGACGTCGTCAACTTTATATTTACGAATTCTTTTCGAAAACGTCAAGTCTGCTTGCTTTGATACAATATATGTATCTTGGGTGGACCTTTTTTGGATTTGTTCATTTCAGGATGATATCTTCAAATCACAACTCTTGATGAATATTTTTGTCATTTTTAGGTAAAAAAGACACTATTTTCGACTTCTTAAAAATGACTAGTCTGATTACTTCAATATTTTATACATGTATATAGACACCTGAAGTCAACCTTATTTTGTCACAATATCTTCAATTCTCTAATTTTAGTGAATTGTTTTGTCATTTCTAGTGAAAAATGCTATTTTCAACTCTCTTAAATTGTTATCAATAACATTTGGTTTTGGTTTTAAATATTACGTTTAGGGTTCCAACATCAATACCAAATCAAAGACTCCCCCAAGCACAATATGGTGTCCCTCCAGCTTCCTCACAACCATCAAGAGGACCGGCACCAAGTCAGCTGCCAACCCAGATGAGTGAATTGTCCATCTCCGGTCAACCACCCTTGCCTACCGGTCAACAACAAATGGTATGTCCTTTTGTTATATTGAATTGTCTGTTTGCATGTCAAAAGTTATATTTTATGTTTTTCACATACTTGATATATGAAAATGCTTTTTGGTTCAGTTTAGGAACAGTCACAATTTTGTAATAAACATTTTAATAATATTCAAGTGATTATCAAACCTTTTCTATTCTTCCGAGTATTCTGTAATGGTTATATTGGTCTGTGATATAAAATAGTTGTGACCCAGCTTTTTTCTACCCTATTAGAAAAATGTGGGTACATTTTTGATATTGCTGATTTGCTGGAAAGGATGCACTTCATTGTAATCACTGGGTCATGGTCACTGCTATGGTTCATGTAGCTGCATGTGTAATTAATTTCTGAATTTTTTTTTTTTTTGCAGCGTGGCCCACCGCCTCCATCTAACACTTCACAGGCCCCGAATGCGTACGCTGGCTACTCCACTAATCAGCCATACTCTCAGGGTGCAGTTCCAAGTTCAAATGCGCCGGGACACTGGGCAGCAACAAGTCAACATCAAAGTATGGGGCCACCACCGACTAATATGGGGCCACAACCTACGAGTATGGGGCAAGCACCAGCCAGCATGGCTCCTCCAAGTATGGCTGGCCCACCTTCTAGTATGTCTGGCCCACCAAGTATGGGACCTCCCCCTAGTGGTGGTGCTTACATGGGAACGCAACAGGTTGGCCCTCCGAGTGGCCATATGGGACAGCCTGGAATGTCTGGTCCCCCGTCGTCTGGTCCCCCTATGGCAGGAGGTGTTACTCCGGGGTATGGCTACCAGCAAACCGGTGCCGGAATGGTTGGACCGGGTTCCACTCCGCCATCACCTGGTATGGGAGGTGGAATGCCAGCTGGGGCTGCGATGTCAATGGGTAGTGCTGGCATGGCTGCCAGTCATGCTGGCATGATGCAGCAACCGCAGACGCAGGCACCACAGAGGAGACTAGATCCTGACCAGATGCCTAGTCCAGTAAGTTATTATAAATAAATTAATCATTAACTCGGCTGTACTTAATTGATGGAGTAATGCCAGTATTATCATTTAATAGTTTACCGGTAATTCATTTTAAGAAAAAACTTCACTGATTAAGTTCTCTTCTACATCCTGCATGCAGCGTTTAGGCAGTCAAGGTAGCCATGGTAACGATATCCAGGGCTGCGCTGATCAGGTAAAGGCAGCAATAATTCAAGCATGCTGGTAATCTTCTCCACATTATCCAAAAACATTGAAATACTAAAAACAAAAAATGCTGGCAAATTTAAACTCCATAACATTCATTATTGTTCTACCTGCTGTATTATATCTGAACGCTCTACTTACACTCGGTCAAGGTCAAGTGGATAACATTTCTGAGCTGTGCGAGAGTTTACACATGCTAAACAGTTGATCACATGACTGCAAACATGAAGTAGCTGCTATTTACATTTTCATTAACACCTTCAAGTCACTGTATGTAGTTCAGCACATGGCGTTGTTTATCAATATTAGGGGCCTTTTTTGTGTCACATGACGTGAACTTGCATTACGATGACTCAGTTAAGGAAACGACCAAGAACTAAAGAAATACTGGCTGCACGAACAAAACCAAAACACCAAACGAGTGAAATTTGACAAGCTTTACGAAGCTAGACTAACTTTAACCGGAATTTCTCCTACATTGATTTGAAAAAAAATACTCGTGAATACCATTACCAATCTACTTTGATTGGAGAGTATACAACGCTTGTAGATTTCACTGTTATCATTCTTAGTAAGCACAACTGTTTGAGTACTGGTTTGCGTAAATATTACCGGTATTTTGAACTACAAAAATATACGATTTTGATTCCTGTGATTTATTCATTAGATAGTGTGGATAAACTGAACTTTATGTAAGTCATGGTGTCTAACCCAGTAACATGTCATCGCTACAGAATTTTATGGTTGTCCAAGACTTGTGAATTTTATAAAATTGCAAAAGGGGTTCAGCATAATTTTCTAGAAATATCATAAATTAGTCTACGAGTAATAGTTACTCCCAGGCCGAGTATGTCTGGGCTTTGCGAATTGTCAATTTCATTTCAGATTTTATCACCATTGGTTAAAAGTAATTTAAATTCATGAATTTCTTTTGTGAAAATGGTCATCACAGAAATTTGAAATAAACATCAGGAAAACCTTATTTTTTTTCATGTCTCTCGATTTGTGGAGTGGCTGAGGAAGTTTAAAATTGGTTAAGAAAAACAAAGTTACCCGTAGTCGATGCGGCTAAAACTGGGATGACTTTGTAAAACAAAATTACTTTTAGTTTAAGCAAAATTGTTTGTTACTTTGAATCGCAGACTATTTCATTAATTTTTTAGGGTTATTTTGTTCAATTTTGATTTAATTTAGTCTTTAAACAGCAATTAAACTGTCCCATAATACAAACATGATTCATTCTGCTCGTCCTTCACTTCACAATCTTGTGTAAAATTCAACATTTGGGTTTGCGTGTTTTTAACAAATTCGGTGACTTTTACATTAAATACTGACATTCACAGACTCGTATTTCTCTAGGTTGGCTCATTAGAGTGCATTTTGGGTATAATGTACTCCAGAAATCAGACTCTCCATTCTTCATGAGAAATTAAAACTCAAGTCCAGATAATAAACAAATTAGACTTTACATATTGATACAAACCAAAAAAAATCTGTAGTATTACGTACAACAGAGGAACATGGGTATATATGCAAGTATGTGCATATATAGTAAGGGATTTAGTGAATGCCAAAAATAGTACATGTACATGTACGTCATTGTATTAGTAGCCTGTGATTTCCTCTCACTACACTACTATACAGGAATTCTTTTTATCTACAGTCAAAACCTGTGACAGTGTTAGTGACCACCTATACACATGTATAAAGACAACCTGCTTACAGTATAGTCCTATGTGATCACTCTTTCAGCAATATTTGTCCAGGTTCGCTTTTGTTTAGAGATTAAAATAATAATTGGCATTGCATTTATAAGGACAAATTTTCAATTTCCTCAAGACAAAACTTGTTGTAATTTACTCAAATAAACAAATGTGTTTTTGTTGCAACAATGCCATCTCATTATTTTTCTGGACAAATGTACGAGATGGTAATCCATAAAAAAAATAATTATCAAACCTCCATGTAAGGGCCATCTGTCTATAATGACCATTTTAATGACATTCTTTGGATGGTCACTGTACACAGGTTTGGCTCAGATTGTCTATTTGTTTAGAATTATTGTACATTATTTCATTACAATAGCAGTGACATAAGTGAAAAAACCATACATGAGATATGTAACGATTGAATTGTATCCAGTGATGAGAAAACATTCATCTTGTTTAATTCTTGTAAACATAGTTCAAACAACACCTCCAGATTTGTTCATATTAAAAAATTATATATCATACATTGATAATTCTCCTAACAAAATATTCAGTATGTGGACGTGAGTTCTACATTGTACAGATAAGTCAGTCACTCATCGTAGAAAGCTTTAAAAAAAATTGTCACTATCCTCTTTCTCTATTTCACTGCAAATTTACACTTCTATTTTGGTGTTTACTCCTTCTTGCATTCCCTCCGTTTCTCTAAATAACTGCCTGATTTTATAGTATTATTTGTGTTCTCCCCATGTCTGAAACAGTAAAATTTTGGACAAGGCTACGAAATGTTTTTGTCATAGTAACTGTTACTATGGTAACCAAATTAGCCATAAAGAAGACTACAGATGACTTGTATAAATGCTCATCTATCTGTTATGTGATTGGCTACTGTTTATCATATGCAGTTTAGCTCTCACTGGGGAGAACACAGCATGGTGCCAGGTGATGGTCGGGAGGATAAGGTTTTCTATTTACTTGCAAAATATTGGTGCCTGCTTGTGATGTAGTACTTGACCTTGCTCAGTGAGGTTTATTTCTGAGGGAATTACTTGAATTATACTGGTGCTACATTTTGTCCATCGATATCCTGTATCCTGGTAGCACTGATAAAACTATGTGTGCTCCTATCATTGGGCCTTGTTGTATAAAATGCTCTAGGTTTCACTAAATTCTTGTTATTTATTTCTGTATTACTACAATCTGATGACTTCACAGTTACTTAATGTCTGTAAAAATAATAATTTTGATCCAGATCCAAAAAAATAACATACAACTGAGCAGAACTGTACTATTTATGTTTTCAAAAAAAAATGAACACAACTGGACTATATTTAGTACTCGTATTCAATTGAAAATATGCAAGATACTATATACTGCTCAATTTTTGCTGTTTTAAATTGTGGCATTTGATTATTGAAAGTTGTCATAACGACTCCATACGTTGCGAACCCAGTTATATTTTCGGCCCTGCAACATTTCAAAGATTATTACAAAAAAATTATTCCACAAAATATTGATGAAAATTTGTCTCATAAAATTATGCTAATCAGTAGTAATATCATCAGCTGCAATTAAAACATTAATTTATTCATTGATTTAACATTGATTTAACATTAATTTACTGATTTTGATGGTTGAATGATTTCATTCATTGGTTGTTTGTTAGTGACGATAAGTAAATTTTGAGGAATACTGAATCCTGTACATTTTCTTTGCTCCCATCAACAACACTAACACACAAAACCTGTTTTATTTTTCTTCCCCATCAGATTCAGGTCATTGAAGATGACAGACGTACCCATGGTAACCAGCCTTTTACAACAAATCAACGTGGCCAGGTACCACCATTGGTGACCACAGACTTCAGGGTTGTTGATCAAGGTATATAAATAATTCTACCCCCAAAAAAATAATTTCATTTGGTACTATCAAAGCAACATTTGTCATATATGCAATTTGGCTAGGGAGTTCACATTATTCTTGTATCTCAGGTGTTCATAATATACTTATAGCTAGGGAGTTCATATTATTTCATGTTGTACGTCAGGCAGTTTACATTGAGGTTAAGGAGCCCAATATCATGCCACCTAGCAGCTTATCAATATTTTATCAATGACTATGATTGACTGATTGCTATTATATTGTTTAGGTAACTGCAGTCCTAGGTTTGTTCGAGCCACTGTGTATAATATTCCGTGTACTCAAGACATGTTAAAGCAATCACAAGTACCGCTGGGTTTAGTTATCACGCCGTTTGCTGAAGTAAAACCCAATGAGGTAAGTACGTTATTAGAGTAGTGGACGATCGAAATTGAAAATTTGACCCTTATCATGGGCATGTCAACTTTTGTCAACTTTCACAAAATAAACCCACATTTTTCTAAAAATTTTGATCAAACCCTCTCGCCTATTAGAGTATATTTATTTGGTTCAAAATATTAATTAAAATAAATGTACAAGGGAGTGAACCTTCCATACGAGTGAAATTGATTTGTAAACGCATCGCCCACTGATTGTTAATATTCCATGTTTGTTTGCAGTCCTCACCTCCTGTCGTTGATAACGGCGCCAACGGTCCTATTCGCTGCAACAGGTGTAAAGCCTACATGTGTCCATATATGCAATTCATTGATGGGGGTAGAAGGTTCCAGTGTAACTTCTGTAATTGCATCACTGAAGGTATGTATAACGTGTACCTCCCTAAACTAGAATGATTTAGTCCAGCTAAGTCATAGATCCCGTGTTCTGTTTGAACTGCAGCTCTGCAGCAATGGGAAATTTGAAGTGAAATGTCTGCCCATCTGGTGGACTTGTACGGGGGTCAACCAGCTATCCAATCATCGGTTAACGCATGGCATCCTTGTACATGTGTGGGAGTAATGAGTGTTCAACTATAAACAAAATACCACTGGAGTCAGTGCTTTCTAATTAATCCATATTGATTGAGGAATTTCTTTGATTTTATATGCATTGCTTTAAAGCATTTTTTCTCCGGCTATATGTCAGTAGTTATGTCGTGCGTAAAAAAGAAGTTTACGTTTTGTAGAAATTGTCATTACTATATACCAGGTAGGGATCACCGGATCACTTGACAAAACTAATTAGTGTGCTATGCTTTGCATATAGAAAGTTAGTGTGCCAATTAAAAGGATAAAAATGGAAATCTTTTTTAAACACAGTACCAGTATATAGAATATGTTCAATGTTTTTTGGGGGGTGTGCGAATTATTAAGTAAGTGTGCGAAGTATTGTAAGATCTAACTGATCTATGTTGATGGCAGATGTGAACGTTTAATTATACAAAAAATTTTAAGAAAGAAGTACCAAAACCTTGCCCATTGCGATATTTTGGTTCTGGTTATCTCCCAAAATATGACCCATTTTTCAAAACATTGCATAGGGCAATCTTTCAGATAAATGTCTTAAAATTGAGTGTTCAGGGATATTTTTCTTGTCGCTATGTATTGCAGATGTCAATATAGTATTCATTGTTTGTTAAAGTGCACCTCTACTTGTACACACACAAAATCAATTGACTTGTATTTGTTTGTATTTTCAGTGCCACCAGAGTTTTTCCAACATTTAGATCACATGGGTAGAAGACTAGACTATTATGACAGACCTGAACTTTCATTAGGTTCTTATGAGTTTGTAGCTACAACTGATTATTGCAAGGTGAGTATGTCACATGATGTAAACTAGCCAATCACCTGACTGATGTGAGCCAATCCGGTGAATAACATTGGCTTATCAAATGGACATTTGTCACATCAACCAGTTACAGTACCATGCATGGATAACTAGCATATGCTGTATGTGCTCTAGTAAAAGTGCATGTAAAAAAAATATTACATTTATTGTTAACCTTTGTCATTCACCTTAAGTCATCGCTACTAATAGAACAAGTTCGGTATTATCGTTACAAACAAGTGATTCATCGTAGTATAGTTAACTAGCGGTACTCTTTCAAGAGGCATGATTTCAATGAGTTTGAGACAGCTTGCCATTCTGTCTCAAACTCTGCCATTGGTCAAGATTGTCTTGTTGGTTTATCATTTTGTACTGTTACATTATTTTGTTTTTCAGAATAATAAATTACCAAATCCACCAGCGTTTATTTTTATGATTGATGTAACGTATAATAGTGTAAAGAATGGAATGGTGCCATTACTTTGTCATCAACTTCATAATTTATTAGAAAGGCTACCTAAGTAAGTTGAAAATCTCATGATCTTGTATTTGTCTACCTAAGTAAGTTGAAAAATTGATAATCTTATTTATGTGTATGTTTATCAGTATGACGAGGTTACTACTTGCAGTCTATTCTCTTTATGTACTGTAAAATACTTAATTTTCGCTGGAATTAATTTTCACTGAAAATGCTTTTTGGGTGTTTTGTATGGAATTTGTTTTCATTGACTTTTGATGAGTTGAATGTAAAATATAGGAAAAAAGGTACATTCACTATGTTTTATTTTCTCTGAATCATCTCTTCAGCGAAAATAAATTCCAAGTGGAAATAAAGTATTTACAGTATGATTTGATTAGTTCGTCTTGGATCACTAACTTTTTTGTTTCTATGGCAACATATTTTGAAGCAGCAATCTTGAATTTTCTGATTGTTAATACAATTCACAACAAAGGTTAATGTCAACAATTTTTATTATTCATCTCCAGGGAAACGGATCAAGAAGAATCATCAATTCGTGTTGGGTTTGTGACTTACGACAAAACTTTACATTTCTACAATCTGAATGGTGCATTAGCTCAGCCTCAAATGTTGGTTGTTTCTGATATAAATGATGTATTTATGCCACTATTAGATGGTTTCCTAGTTAAATTGTCAGAAGCCAAGTTAGTAATAGATAGGTAAGTCCCTGGTAACTTTTATTAATATGTGTTTATAGTCTGATTTTTAAGAATAATTTGAGAAATAGAGTACATAATTGAAAAAGACAAATATTTTGAGTGATAGTACTTGATATTACATAAAAATAAATTTCAGCATTCAAATTCTTGGGAGTTTGCGCTTTTCCTTTTCGGCTGTTTTCAGACTCTTCGACCGGCGTTTCACAGCAGCTCGCACATGGCCCTTAGAAATATAGGTATAGTGGTACTTGTCTCAGCAATATAGAACGTTCTGTGATGTAGCTCCACCCTAATTCCAACATTTTTCAGCATGTCTCAATGTGAGCAATTGTTTTGGCATGTCTCAATGTGAGCAATTGTTTGGCATGTCTCAATGCTAGCAATTGTTTTGGCATGTCTCAATGTGAGCAATTGTTTTGGCA